ATTTATTTTTAATTTCTTTAAAGGAAGTTAAGTTATTAAAATCCAAAAATCCTAAAATTAGAGTCCAAAGTAAACACTTATAAAAAGAGTAAACACTTAAATCCAACTAGAACCAGGTTTGAAACGCAACACCGAAACACAAAGGCACAGAACACTACAGAAAAAAACCAAAAAACCGATTGCGATAATAACAAATAAAAAAATAATGCAGGAAACGGCAAAAAACTGAACGATTTTACACAAAAATTCGAAATTCAAAATTCAAAGACCCGATTCTGATATTTTTATGTGTCAAATCAAAATGTCATGTATTATTATTTGATAGTTGTCAGAAAAAGGGACAGATCTGGGGATTTTATTTATTTTCAACTGGTGAAAATAACGGTCAAAATTCAAACTCTATCGGGAATATGACTATACCTATGCTTTCTATTATTATCTCCTAATTTCTAACCTAATTATCAAGGGTGTGAAATGAATAAAACTATCCTCTATTAGGCAATCTCAATCACGTGATTTTCTAATGGCCGTTCAGGTCAAATATTGCGGTGACAAGCCGGTGACGTTTGACGTTCATAAGGAGAGCATTTATGTTCTGCAGATTTCTGCACAAAACGTGTTCTGGCCCTTGCTGCTTTCGAAGTGAATTTTATGTGTTTCTACGTATTTTTCATTGGTTTTGGTCATTGTTGTTTTCATAGTGAATTGTGAATTTTATAGCCTTTAGTATTTCTACGTATTTTTTAGTTTTCTGGCACTTGTTGTTTTCAAAGTGAATTTTATAGTGTTTCTACTGTTTCTACGTATTTTTTAATTTATTAATAAATTCTGAGATGGAGAGTGAATATCTTAAGGTATTATTATTAAGGGAAAATCGAGCTTTTAGTTGCAGCAATCCATAAAGCCCTGCGTTGTTTTGATAATTCATATTTGTAGATCAAAAGCCAATGATTTAAAATAGCAAGAACTTAATAAAATTTCACATTATCCCTGTTACCTCGACTTCCACTCCCAATTACTATGCAAATCGCTGGCATTTTAATTAACACAATATCTAAACACACAAAAAAACACAAAATCCGAAGAATCAATGACATACTTACAGAATAAACAACACAGTGCTTGACCCAATGCTTGACCCGAACTTCCATATTGAATTTCGTTTTTGACAGGTCAGTAGATTGCCTAATTAATTTAATAATAAAATAATTGAGTAATCACTCCTATCTTAACCTATCTATATATCTTGATTATAACTAAGCATTTGACTATATAAAGGCTCATCCTCAATCAATTTACTAGCGAAGTGGCAATTCGGCACGCAAGCTAGGAAAATGTTGTTTAACGTTGGTATCCTCAATTCAATTCCGTGCTGGCATGCACGTCGACTCCGAAGTGAAGGTTGCAAGCTGCCAACTTTTTCGAAGCGTGCCGACTTATGTCATGCGCAGTACAGTAAAAAATGATTTAGGTTATCCTTGCGTTCAGTATTTTGCTCAAAGAGCAGAGCGGAGCCGTAATCACGTGACCAGCGAGCGCACAGAGCAGTTAAACGCTGTATCAGAGGGCTCGAAATTTTATTAAACGAACGTGAATGAGCCTACACCGAGTACACTTTTTGAATAAACGAACGGTAAATTTATGCTCAGAGAACTCAGATCAAAATACCGAATGCACGGTATGTGACCGTACTACACGCACAGCAGACTGAAAATTGACAGCATTGAGGATGGGTATAAATTTTCCAGCACGCGTGCCAAAGTGTCACTTCGCTAACAGATTGATTGAGGATGTAGCTTTACAGTTAAGAGGGGCGTCAGATAAGAGCCAGCACGCCATCTTTTGGGCTTTATGACATACATTAAATATTTTCTTAATCACAGGTGTTCAAATTCTCTGTAAGTGATTGACTAATTTACAAGTAGATGGCGACATCTTCAATATCAATTCGTTTACACAGTAATTTACAGTGGACTAAATAATTTTATTCAGATACAAATGAAATAATAGTATTTCACATTATTAAAATCTGTTTTTTTTTTTTAAGATAAAAGTCAAAATTATATTATGTTGGCAATACAATGTAAAATTGTCAACGCTTTCAAATTTTTATGTAGAAAAGGCTTGTGTTGCCAACATAGTTACTAAATTTTTGACTTGGGGAATTATCTTTAAAAAAAAACAGACTTTAGCTAGGTTAAACAGTTTTTATTTCCTACTGAACTATTATAACCATATAATACCTTGGTTACGATAATCATAAACAGGGTCTTAACTCCCAAGGGAGTTAAGGATTTCATCGCGGGAGTTAAGGATATCATAAGTTAAGGATTTCCTTAACTCCCGCTTTTACCTTGAATAGGTGAAACTTTGACAAAAAATAGAAATTTTGGTTTATGGTTTATTTCTTTATGAAAATAGACAAAATACAGTAAATTCAGTAGGAAATAAAATTATCTATGTACCACGGGAATTATCAGGTGTTAATACCCTCATAATTCCCTTGATACATAATTAACTATTACTGGCGTTTGAAAGAAGTTATTATGCTTCCCGAACTCAGCGACATCTTTTAGAGAAGCGCTGAACAAACGTTTGGTTTGAGTCATAGAGAAATATAATAAACCAAGGTGAGAGTTACCGATTCTGTGGTACGACACTGGCAACGCGATGACGTCAGATCGATACTAGCGCCACCGTACACTACAAGACCAACTTAAATAACATTTGGCGGGATTTTTGAACTTTTAAATTATAGTTTTGTTATTTCTGAAGGTAGAAATTTAACCCAGCGTTTTTCCGCAGTCGACAGAAAAAAAATTGCGGAAAAACGCTGGCCTGGAAACAAAAATAAATACGGTCAATCGCTTAAAATTGGCATACATATTTTCATCCTTCGAAATTAACAAAGAACATACGTATACAAATAAAATAAATATACATAAACAACGTAAATAAAGAAATAATAAAAATTAAATTATAGGTACTTATACCGCAAGATAACAACAAAAAAAAGCAAAAACAGCCAAAACATCTCACTTTCTACTAATAATAGGTTACTATTGAATAATTATCATTACTTATGTATAAACTGAGCCATTTTCATATTGTAATCTCGTAAATCTTACCAGAATCATGCATTTTTAAATCAACTGATAAATTGAGATTTAAGGTTGACTAATTTGTGTCCAAAATTTTTTTGTCAGTTTTAAACATGTCATTGTACAATAATTAAAAAATCCTTTGTCCTCTTTTCCTTTATTATGGCATCTGTTAAAAAGAGATAGATATGAGAATGGAAGGTGATGTCAGAATTGTCAGATAGTTCCAAGCTATGCTAGCGACACCATGTGCTACAAGAAACAACTAGAAATACGTTGCCACTTCACGCACATGAATCGGTAACTCTTACCTTGGTTTATTATATTTCTCTATGGTTTGAGTCTTTGCTGAAAATGACAGCAATCACCTCGTTGTTTGACAGATTTTGATTAATTTTGTGATACAAAAATTATAATTTTCGAAAATTCTGTTCTATTCATTTTTTCCAGCATTTTACTATCCGAAATTTTGAACATTTATTGTTGGTGTGCTACTTTATATGTTTATCCCTTTTTCATTTAAATCCGTGACCAAAATTTCCATATTGTTGTCAACAAATGGTAATAATTTTACTATTTAGAATGCGTATTTTGCAACCAAAAATGCTTGAACTTCTACTCCAATCTATTATTGTTATGAACATAGCTTCATTTCACTGAAAAGTGGTCTAAATTTGGAATTGAACAGGAATTAGTGAAGGTCTGTAAATGATATTTTATTCAAACGCCCCTCTTAACATTTCACCAAAGTAAAACCCTTGATAATCATATTGTTACACAATTTGTTATTGTATCTCAAAAATCTAGCTCTTGTAATCATCGTTTCGCTCTACACACACATGCTTCGAATTTATGATTCTTTCCAGCAACGGTATCAGTTACCTGACATCTGGGTTCGTCATAAAACGTGGGTATTCAGACCACATGGGATCTAAATTAGTCTAAAGTTTAGTGTTTATCTAGGAAAACATAAATTTTGCCTATATATTTGTCAATTTCGGGTTAAGCAAAATAATCTTCAAGCTATAAAATTCGATACTTTTTTGGCTTTCAAGTGATTTTTACCAGATTAGATCGTTCGCAGAACTCCATGTGTTTGTAAATCCCATTTGGGTCACATTTTAACTATCTATAAAAGTAAAACTTTTCCCACGAAAAATGAACTTGGTCCGGAATTATGAATTTGCTATTGATTTTATTACACAGTCAATGAAGGCAAAGGAAATAATTGACTTTAGTAAAGCGGATCTAAGGGTGCTTATAGGCCTCTTTATGGGTCACTGCCCTCTGGGTTACCACCTGGAAAAGATGGACAAAACGGAATCAGACTCACGCCGCTTCTGTAAAGAAGCCTTTGTGACTGGCAACTGGGAGCCATTGTGTCGCAGAAGACTCATCCATCTGGAGCAGCCCTACTTAACGGATGTGGATGTGGAAGAATTAAATCCCAGGAACATTATAGGCCCACCAGATATAAAGGGAAGCACAATAGATCAAATGAGGTCGCAGTGCGGAAAGGTCCATAAGCTAAACACACCAACCATCACAATCTATAATCTTCAAGTATAGTGTTTCACTTTCAGTAAAAATTCTTAGTCATTCGATAGTTAAGTTAAAGGAAAGTTCAGTGAAAATTTCTAGACATTCGATAATTCAAAGCTAACTTCGGATAATTTCGAAGATAATCACTATATTAAAACATACCTACAAGCCTAAAATCATTTGAGATAGAACACTCCAAGTAATGAAGGGAAGTTTCCTTGAATTTTGAAGTAAAACAACCCATTCTCTACTCCGGTACTGCACAGGGGTTCAAAAATTACATAATTTATTTATCGTCAACACCTTTAATCTGTGGATTGAAAATAAATACAAAGGATTTTTGTTTTTCAATTCCAGATCTATTCGAAACACAAAAGGAAGTCAGCACAGCGTCATTATTTCCATTGTGCGAAAAAGGTGAGTCGAAAGCAACAAAATCTTTTGTGCTAATTCTACAAAGCAATAGATAACGATAGAAATGAAACAGCACTTCTTAGTTCATAGAAAATATATATTTTTTAAAACTTTTTCAGCGCTTTTGAACGGGACGATATATCCATAGCCTCATTGTTAGAGTCAGGATTCAACAGGGTACGTACGTATATTTTGTCCAAACTAAAAACCTTATGAGGATATTTTTAGTTTTCAATTTAATTTAAAAAACTTGCGGCTTTGTGCTTTCAAAGTGTCACAAAAGCGGACTCAATTAACGGAACAAAGCACCTAAAAAAGAAATCTGCCACAAACACTCTCAACAAAATATCCTTATAAATTTCTTATAGGCTTATAGTATGCATTGTTTTAATAAAGACTTTTATTAGTGTATTTTAGAGTCGACTAATGTTCTGGTGTGCGTAAACGAGTTGATTTTGCTCAAACATTGCGACATGAGAACAATAGCACAGCATGCCACTTGCCAGGCAATGTATACGGCATTGGACAAATGCCGCGATTTAGTTATAGTCACTGATGATAGTTATAAATTCCAGGTAAGAACGGAAATTAATTTCCTCGAACCGTGTATTGATTTTCCTATATACATGCAATTTAATTTGATTTTGTAGTACATCAATGCAGCTTGCGAAAAACAGCTAGGCCTGAGGCAAGAAGATACATTAGGCAAAACCCTGCAAGAGCAATTAGTGTACGATACGGTGCAAATAAATACGATGAGCTCGTCATTATTGAGGGGTCGAGAATGGAGCGGTCCCATGACATTAAAAAGGAAATCGACCCAAGAGGCTCTCGTGAGCTCGTGCAGATCTGTACCATTTTCTTGTGCCGGAAGGTAAGAGAAAACTGTTTTGCTTGCTATATTTTAATGAATTTTATGCGGAGTTTGCCGACGAGGAAATTTCATTTCGTTCGTCAATGGCGTTGCTAGATGATTTTCAACAAAATGGGGTTTGATAATTTAGGAAAATCGCATTTTCCACTTGAACTTTAGTAATCGGGATTAGAAGGGAATTAGGCAAACTATTCTTGAAATAGTGATTATTTCCTTTCATATTCGTAAAACTTAAATTATTTTAAAAGTAGAAAAATTTAGGGCATCAAATGAAGGTTTGTAATCCTAATCATATATCTGCTATCAGACATCGAGGGTATTTTTTTGTCCAATGCCTGTAACAGGTGAAAATGTGCATTTTAGACTACCAACCCATTTCATCCTGGTTTTCGATCCAAACCCGATAGATCCAAACCTATTGTCACAATCCCGAGGAAGTATTCATTCTATAAGAAGAGGATCAACGGACGTCAGGAGTATCAGTAGCGATTATTTAAGACGAACATCTCTGGCCAAATTGAATGCGCTTCCATTAGAAGCACCAATTACTAAGGTAGACACATAATTAATAAGCAACCGTCCATGTAATTAAAAATATTAAGCTAATTAGCAAAATGTATACTTACCTGAAGCCACTTCAAAGTTTTGCTTCGCATAAAGTTTGAACAAAAGAGCTTTAGAAGCATTAATTAAAAGTTAGTTTGTTTGAATTATTATAAGAACAACGCTCTAATTGGGCTAATCGTATTTCAGGTGATAGGCCTTATCGATCAAATCAGAGAAAATCTAGGAACCAATACCCAATTGATACAGCTAATTGATAAAGTTGAAGACATCTTAAAGTCTTCTGAACTCTACGTCTCGTATGTAAAAGAAGACTATAAAATGAGAGTGGACGAACCTGTGGTGTCAGATCTGATAACTGCTCTTCTTTCTGTAAGTTTTCTATTTTTTTAAATAAAAACTACTCAAACTAATTAATTCTACTATAGAAAACTCCACAACCTTCTATAACAGCATCTTCTAGAAGAAGCAGCAACGATTCCTCTGTATTTAGGCCTTCAAGAACCGGACTCATAAAGGTAATAAGTAACTTCCTGAATATAAAATTCACAAATAATTATTATTGTTATCAGGCTCCAGTCGCTTTGAGAGAACTTCTGGACTCGGCTCTGACGTGGGAATTCGACATATTCAAACTAGAGGATCTTTCGCGCAAACGACCTCTTCAACATTTGGGCATGAGCTTGTTCAATCACTTCGATGTCGGAACTACTTTGAATTGTGACGACCGCACCCTTAGTAATTGGTTGACCGTGATCGAGGCCAACTATCACGCCGAAAATTGGTATCACAATTCGACGCACGCCGCTGATGTTATGCAGGTGAGACTCTGAGACTGATGAATAGTTTCTCTTTCAGTTGGGTGAAGTTTTCATTGGATATTTCATGAATTCATTATCATCATAGGCGATCACTTGATATCGAGTATGATTATCTTCGGTTCTATTCTTATTGTGGTCGATGGTGCGTTTTCTCATGGCTATGTAAACCAATTTTGCAGCCGCACAGTCTTGGCACACCCAGCCTCTAGCAGCATTGTCTCTTCCTGTGTTCTCTCACTCCTTCCTGAGGTCCCTCTTTTCGGTCTCATGTCTGCGTCGTTGTTCTTCAAAATTTTGTGGTCAGACGCCATGAGGGCCTATCATTTACCAGTTTCTGATATGTAACCCTCTACCAAATTCTCCCTTAGAACATCCTTTTAGCGTTTTTGTTGACCTCCTTGACTTCGTTTTCCCTCTTTCAGTTGACTGTAGAGTGGCAGACGCGAATTAAGCATACGGACGAGGTGACCTGTCCAGCAAAGTTGGTGCTTAAAGATGAGGGCTTCCATGCTAGTTGTTTTGGCCTCCTCTAAAACACTTATGTTCGTGCGTCGTTCCTGCCATTTAATCTGTAGGATCCTTCTCAGGCAGCGCTGGTGGTATTTTTCTAGGCTTTTTATGTGTCTTCTGTAGGTGGTTCATGCATGTTTCGTAGCTATATGTGTTGGTATTACAATCGCGTTGTAGACGCGTAGTTTGGTTTCAGGGCTGATGTCGTATTTGAATCTGCGTCCAATAAAGTTGACCTCTAGGCCGATTCTCCTGACTGCCTGGTTGAATGCATTGATGATTCCCTGAAAATCTTCCTCTGTATTGGCCATCACGGCGTAATCACCCGCATATTGAGGTTCAATTATCGATATCGTCGATACTTTTTTCTTGGCTCGTAATATGTTTAGGTTGAATAAGTTGCCATCAAGTCTGCACAGGTATCGTGATCGCCTATGATGATGATGATAGGATTTCCTCTCTTGTCGGGTTGTCGGGAGGTGACCCTTGACAAAGAAAAGTATGGATCCTATAAAGAGAGAAAATTAAGTGGATGTAATAACACAGCCTTGTTTACCGCCTTTAATTATTTGAAAAGACTCTCCTTGTCCATCTTTTCTTAGGACGGTTGCATCCATGCATATTATCACGCAGCAAGCCGAGTTTCTGGGTGTAGTTTGCGACACTTTCGCGGACATCGACAGGGCCATGCGACCCAAAACGGCCACACGACAAAACGTGGTTGAACAACCAGTGGTGGCTAATGCATATCTGCCTTTCATTTCTCGGTTGACAGACAGGATAGGAAAAGTCTTGAAGAAACACAACAAAAAAACGATCTGCAAGCCAACAAGGAAAATACAGCAATCAATCAGATCAGCCAAGGATAAGAGGAACCCACTGTCAAGCGCTGGATTGTATCGTATACTATGCACATGTGGTAAGGTATACATAGTTACAACAAAAAGATCCATGGGAACCAGGATCAACGAGCACAAAAGAAACTGCAGACTAGGACAATCGGAAAAATCGACAGTAGCAGAACATGCGCTTAGTGAAGGGAATCACAAAATACTATTTGGTGAGGTCAAGCTTCTTGCACCGACTTCCAAATACCACAATCGCCTTGTACGTGAAGCTATAGAAATCCACAAACATACGGAGAACTTCAGCAGGAAAGAAGAAAGACTAAAACCTTACCAAATTTGGAATCCAATCCTCAAAAACGCAAGAAAGATCCCATTTGAGTACAGAGAAAGTTCCGATTAGCCACGTGTTGATATTAGTTGTAGTGCTACTGATGTAACGAAATTAATAACATACGAAAAGCGAATTTTGATTATGGCGCCATCTAAAACTAGGATTTAGCACTAAACAATACTTTTGCTGTAACAGTACTGACCGTCTAATAGGCCGACCAAAAATCAGTTTGTTGGGAAAACCCAAAATAGGGAAAACAAGTTTTCTCCTATTCCACTGATGTGAAAATTTTGAGTTAATTTTTTTCGCTTTTCCATCCACAGACGCGTTTCGAACTATCGGATCTCATCAGTGTGGATAGGAAAGCAACCCATAAGTTTAGCTCCTGCACGCAAAGTAGACGCGTCTGTAGATGGAAAAGCGAAGAAAATTGATCTAAAATTTTCAAAAAAAAAAAATCTAAATCGATAACTTTGTACAATGAAAATTCTGATACTGCTGATCTGATGTACGATATCAAAAGAAGAACTTGTTGCTAGCGAGGAACCTCATGATGAAGAAAATACTAGAAAATCTGGAGACGATGGATTATGGAAGAATCCAAGACTCAGGCAAAGTTTGGAAAAGTGCTGACTCTTCAAATGAAGAAAATACAATCGAGATTGCTGAAACAGACTAGATGAAAAATACGTAATCCTTCAAAAAAAAAATGGAAATACATATTGAATGATAACAAAACTAATAGTGTGATTTGCTTGGGATCCCACAGAACCTGAATCTGACTGAGCTGTAAAAGTAGGTAATTGCAGAATCTGGAAATGAAAACGTAACCTTAAATCTAATGAAATTCTTCTTTAAGAAAACAACGAAAACGATATTCAGATACATGAAGACCCTAATGAAACCTCAGCTCATTATTTGGGGGCCCCAAAGTTTTCCTATTTATAAACTTGTTGATGCGGATGCTGAAATCATTCATTGAAAAATTAACAAAATCCAAAGTAAGAAGAATGTTGAAAAAGTGTTGAAAATTAAATTTCTGATGATTCGAGAACTGATTCTTCAAGTGAAGAAAATGATAATAATAGTTTCACTTGATTGTTTTGAAAATGAATTGAAAAAAAAAATACTTATGAGGTAATGATGAGCATCTGAAAATGGAAAAATCTAAACCAAGCCAAATTCTATAGGAAATAAAGATTACAGTATACAGTGAATCCCATACAAACTGAATTTGATGAAGAAAAAAGAACAAATTCAAAAATCCAATGACTAACATGCATTTAGATATCAGATCCACCTTTTCAAAATCTTCAAGAAGAAAATGAAGAATATATTCAAATTCACGAGGACTCATTCTAAACCTCTTTTTTTTGAAGAGTTATTGGAATTTGAGGTTGCAAGTGTTAGTCCAAACGTCGACAGGGTTTTTAGCCCATAAATGATCAAAAATCTTGTAACTACTTCACTGAATGGTCCTTTAGAAGACGAAGTGCTTATAGCCGATCTGATAAACTGATAAAGTTGATGTTACAAATCCATCATAAAGTTTCTATATTGACGATGTTTTTGGCTCCTCCATGAATAATGAAGATCTCGGAAATATTAAAACTGCTTCACTGGAGTTTGTGGCGTTGGAAGCTATTTCACCAACCCGTAGAGTTAGTGTAGTGGGTATTCACACCAAAGTAGCATGCGACGTGCAACTTGCTGCTAGAAAGAAGGAAGCATGCTACTTATTTTAAAACCTTCAGAAATATATGGCAGGTGTGGCGTCTCACAAATGTAACAATCATGGAAGACGCAAGTTGCAACCAGCTTCCTGCTTTCTAGCAGCAAGTCGCACGGCGCATGCTACTTTGATATGAATGCGCACTTACAGATAATGTTGGCAGAGAACCATTCAACAGGCAGGCGATAATTGACAACTCACTGATATCTCCCCTAGCAGGACGAGTCGAACGACTTCGAAGGGATGACTGGCGGGTTGCCAGTGAAATAATCACAGCGCTTGATAGTAAGCCTCTTATAGAAGAGGAGCGACAAAATCGTTCAATCCTCACAAATCGCCAGGGATGGATGGTATGTTTCCGGCTCTACTCCAAAACGAACTAGATGTCCTCACCCTTATAAATTAGGAGCTAAGCCTAGTTCGATGCCAGATACCAACTAGCTGGTCAAGGATAAGTGTAGTAAATTTACAGACAGGTAGAACCGACCATCTACCTAAATCATTTAGACCAATAGGTCTTGCATCATTCCTTGTGAAAAGTCTGGAGAAAGTTCTGGAAGTTCAGGGAAGGGCCATTAGGGCACAACCCATTGAGTGTTCATCAGCACTCCTTCCACAAAAATGATTCGCAAGATGCTTGGGAATGGGTATATAACGACGACCCAACACAGGAAAACAGTACAGTTTAGAGCTGCCCGCAGGAAGGGGTTCTCTCTCCTCTTCTGTGGTTCCTGTTGGTAGACAACCTGATGGCTATATTCCAACAGTAGGAGCCACAGCAGCCATAGAGCTTCTACTAGTAATTCGCCCTTCACATATCTATCTGTAAAGCGAGGTCCTAAAAGCAACCTACAGATACCACACGAACAGAGACAAAATATAGATGTCACAGACAACGTGGAAGGTACCAAACAGCTGGAGTTTATCAAGACACATAGCGGTTTGAGAATGCCTACGGACCTTATGCCAAGAACACACAACAAGCGCCCTACCTTAGAGTGGGTGCAGAATAAGGGGATCTATGTTTGTTCACAGATGGATCAAAGACAGACAGTAGGGTGAGAGCGGGCGTTGATGGTGCAAAACCGAAAACTAGGTTATCCATCAGTCTAGGGAACAGTGCAACCATCTCTTAAGTGGAATGGGTGTGAGGAGGCTGCAGAATCGACTCCAAAATCACAAAACCATTGAAATATGTTCTGACAGCCAAGCCGCTCTCAAGGCGCTTAGCTCCACCTACTGTAATTCAAGAACACTCTGGAGCTGTCAGGATTAGGAAAGGAAAAAAAAGGTAACCGTAATGTGAATACCGGGACACGAAATCGCGGATCTTCTTGCCAGAGGGGGAACCGAATCCAAGATCGCAGGGCCAGAGCCATTACTGGGCATTGCCCATAACATGGTAAATCAAACTATCAAAACCTGGGCATGAAAAATATATTGACAATCCAGAACATTCCCCCAGCACCATATCAGGCGTAAAATGAGCGTAAAATGAACTATAAAAAAAGCGATGAAAAAATAAAAATTAAATGGAAAAGTATAACGCGAGGATGAAAAAAAAGAGAAATTCAAATCGTTAATGGACGAGAGGAATGGTAAAGAAAAATAATCAAGACTACACACAGTTGAAGCAAAACTCAAGACATGCGTGAAGCTCCCAAATTGAACGAAAAACTTTCACAAGCAACAGATATTTGCGAAGAAAATTAGAAAAAAAAAATCATTTCATTAATAGTTAATACAACAGAAATGGGTTCTACATTAACATCACTGCCTTACCGATGCACAATAAATTCGAATACTAAAAGCAATAAGCCTTAATCCCCCTAGAAACAAATAAGTATTAAAGTAGGTATTGCTTTTTTCCCTTCACGGATCTTAAATTATATATTTATAACATGAAAGCTTCTCAAAAATTGATAGGCTGCGCAAATATCGTACCATATAAAGATAACATAATCATGGAATGACTATTTCGCTATTTCATCCCAAGAGAGGCTAGGAATAGCAAAGAAGAAGAACTCAAAGGCAATTTTACCAAGTCAATTTTCTCGTACCTATATTAGTAAATTCGAATAACGTCTTCCCATTTATTTGAACTTTACTGTTTCATCTGTTGCGCTTTATTAAACATTTCACTTCGTATCTTTCTAGGCGACGGCCGGATTTCTGGAAAAGGAACGCATGAAATCCATAATGGAGCCACTCGACGAAGCCACCAGCCTGATTGCGGCTGCCTCGCACGATTTGGATCATCCTGGAAAATCCAGCGCCTTTTTGTCCAACTCGAACAATCCCTTGGCCATACTATACAACGACGTGACGGTTTTGGAGCAGCATCACGCCGCTATGATGTTCAAATTAACATTGGGCGAGTCAATATTTTTTATCGATACACACATTACAGGTTGATAATTGTTGAATTTTAGGCGACGAAAGGGTGAATATTTTCAAGAATTTGGACAGGGACACGTACAAACTTGCCAGACACAATGTCATAGATATGATCTTGGCTACGGAGATGACTAAGCACTTTGAACATTTGGCTAAATTCGTTAATGTGTTTTGTGCGAGGAATTCAGGAACATCGGAAATGATTGATTCTGGGGTAAGTAACTTATCCATCAATTCAACCAGCTTCAAAAATCAATAATTTTTAGCACTCGGAAGACTATTCGCCAATTCTAAATCAAGAAAATACGACGCTGGTGAAACGGATGATGATAAAGTGTGCGGACGTTTCGAATCCTACGCGCCCTCTTCGTCTTTGTGTCGAGTGGGCTCGCAGGATAGCCGAAGAATACTTCCAGCAGACTGACGATGAAAAAAGTCGTGGTCTCCCTGTGGTGATGCCCATGTTCGACAGACAATCGTGCTCTGTGCCAAAGTCTCAGATTGGTTTTGTCGATTACATTATAAATGATATGTTTGAAGCATGGCACGGTAATAACTTTGAGTTTTAGGATAATCGAGAGCGTAGTTATGTGGTGATTTTTAGCATTCATCGATATGCCAGAACTGTTGAGCTACATGAGACAAAATTATATAAGATGGAAGGAGTTCGACGAGCAAGGCCACACAACCCTAATCCACATCCAAAAACTTCAAGCCACTCTTTTATCACCTGCCGTATCTTGCATTTCAAAGTCTGACTAGCATAAGTATTCACGTAAGTCCATAGTATTTTTGTTTTGTTCGACTTAATAGAAACATTGTTTTAGGTCACAGCGTTGACATCAGTGACCTACGACATTATCTTACTCAAAGGGCTATGAACATTATACCTGACTAATTATTAGAGCATATCTTTTATTGAAAAGAAAAAACCAAACAGATCCCCTCCTATATACTTTTACTATATACCTATTTCTTTTATAATATTATTAAATAATGTTTGTAGGTACTTACATCTATTTATGTAACTATTTTTAATAAAATATTTAAAAAAAAATAAATATTAAATATGCATGCTGGCCGTGCATCTCGTGTCTATTTATCAATCTATATTCTTTGAGGGATATCTCAATAAAATGCACTATATCGATGTGTTACTTTTTGTAAAAACTATTGACGTTGTGTAAATGTAAATTGTTTTATCTGGGAGTCTAATATATGATGTTTTTTTATAAAATTTTGATAGTTTTAATCTTTTGGTACCTACCTTCGTCATATGTGGTCATCAAAGGACAAATAACCAGTGATAAAAAGTCAGTGACAAATTGAGGACACATGGAAAACATACTGGCAAACTTTATTGGGATAGCAAGAAAATGAACAACTCATGAAAATGCGCCAGAAATTGATAAACTTCTCTCTGAACTTTGAACAGTTCAGAGGAACACATAACAGCAGAGATGCATGCATTGGTTTCATAGATCTGGACAGAAGAGCGACTCCCCAAACACTGGAGAACTGGAATTATTTGCCCTATTTATAAGAAAGGAGGCAAAGTGAGGTGCGAAAACTATCAGGCAATTACCCTCGTGTATCGCTCTCTCCAACTCTGTGGTGAAACAAAATTCTTAGTGAGGCGTGGAAACATGACATCCATCAATAGAGCATACGACACCATTAATAGAGGCCGACTATCAGGCTCTTTACTGCTTCAACATCCCTCCCAAATATATCAGATTGGTAAAAGCCACAAAGGATATTACAACGGCGACAGTGCGAATACAAAATGACTGTACTGTTGAACATAAATAATGGACTCAAGCAAGAAAATGGACTAGCTACCGCACTGTTCAGCTTGGCGCTAGAGTACGTCATCCGAAAAATAGATGTAGGAAGATCAAACCTAACATCTATGTCAGTACAATTGGCGGCATACGCACACGACAAACATGTCTCGTAGAGCAAAATACACATCATAGGCCAGCCGTTTTTCTGTATCTTTGAACCACTATATCTCGGTTACTTTTGCGTTAAATAATACGTTTGACAAGTGAAAGTTGAAGGAAATTCAATGTTCTTCAACTTTATAACTAGGTGTATTCCGCTGAAACGCATGGTTTAGAAAATATAAGCAAAAAACTGAAAAAGTCCGAAAATTTCGTGGTTTTTCGACTCCCTCCAAGCTAGCACAGGGTCCTCGAGATCAAAAACTCAGATTTTACTCCACAGACTACCCACAAATGACATATCAAAATATCATTAACTTCGGGATACTTTCTAGAAGAAAGTCTTTGCCTGCTGGACTACAAGAAATCAGAAATATATATGAATCTGAAGAGAGAAGCCAAAAACATCGGACTCAGAATAAACACACACAAAATAAACACCCTGACACGGACTCGAATAAGAAGAAACTGTTTAAACTTTGTGATATCTATATTATTCCAAACTAAACAATTAAAACGTTACATGTATATTATATTTAATGAATAGCGAAAATTATTACATTCATTATTACATGCTATATGTGACAAGTGTCCTGACCATAGATAATCTTGGCATAAATATGACCAATATGACAAATACATTATAACTATACTAAACAGTGGTGGTTTTTTTGCTATCAAACCTTAACTATAAATAATATTGAACAGAAACAACAATGGCAGAGGCACTAGAGCTGGAGAACGACCTTGAAACAGTTCAGAGCTTCAAATACCTGGGAATTGAAATAAACACATCGGGGATCGAGGAAGACGAAATACAAAACAGAATACAGATGACAAATAAGGCATTCTTCTGTTTGTCACAAGTATTTCTGTCCGGACCATTCATCGTGAATAAAGCATCAGATACATTGTGTTATGGATGCGAAACATGGGTCATGAGTGTCATGACTGACAGCCTATAAAGCAAGCTGGAGGTTTTTTGAAAGAAAAATCCTCCGGAAATTATATAGGGGATAAATGAGAAAGGGATATAGAAAACACGCTACAATCACGAACTATAGCAACTGAATTCATCAGGCTGCAAAGACTTTGATGGGCGGGTCATGTGATCAGAATACCAGAAGAGAGACTACCAAAGAAAGCACTTAAGAGCCGAATGTGTGGAAAGACATAAAGGAAGGATGGGAAGAGAAGCTTTGGACCGCGACGGGTTAAGGCTTACCTTTTCGGAGGCCAGGGCCCAATTTGAAAAGAATTGTACTTATTCTTAAGTTAGGTACTATGTAAACTACTGGCTTTCTTGAAAAAAAGATTAAATTAGCCAGCAAACACAAACCAGCCACATCAATTTCAACGTATTTTGAACTAGGGTTGCCTGTCTCCCAGATGAGCTTGCTCTTAGACTAACACTAATTTTAAGTTAAAAAAATATTATTTATTCACAGCATTAGTATACAAAACAAAGAAAATAAACTATAACAATTAGCAAATTAATCCTGGTAAAATCCAATTTATTAGTTGGTAGGATGTTCAACTTTAGGTTCAGGAGTGGAGGGAGTCACAGTAGACTTGGCAGGTCCAGTTTGTTGAATGGGCACCACCCTGTCGGTGTTCTTGGGTTTGTCGACTTTCTTTGGTGCGGTAATGGTTAAGATACCATCTGACGACAAGGAGGACACGACTTCCTCGATGTCGTTTTCCGCAGGCAAAAGATAGCGGCGCACAAAGTGTCTGGAGATGAAACCGTGCTCGTCTTGCTTTTCTTCGTGTTTGCCTTCGACGCAGATGCTGTTGCCTGTCGTTTTCACTGTAATTTCATTCGGACCGAAATGTTGGACGTCGAGGATGATCTGAAAAACAGTGAACTTATTATGTTAGTTGTCAAGCATCTTGTTTTTACAACCTGTGCCAAACATTTTAAAGGGTTCCAGACTTTTGACTTGCAAGAATGCTACCAAAACAATATAACTTAAGGCATATTTAAATTGGGAACTATATCAATTATAGTGAGTAAGAGGTGATTTTCAAGAGGGAATTCAAAACTTCATATTACCTCAAAGTTGTCTTTTGACTGGCATGTGCAAGTGTTGGCCCCAGGTCCCTGGTTAGTTTGTACTTCATTTATTTCGGCAGTCTAATTGCAAATAACAAAATAATCGCTGTAGCAAATTTTGAAGTTGGCAAAAAGTAATTTTTTCCCCGGTTAGTTTGTATAAGTTTCATATTTCGACATTAATCGTTACCTGGAATTTCTCCTTGTCCTGTTGAATCGTAGATCCGGATTCTTGTCTTTGTAGAACGGTAGATGTGTTCCACGGTCTCAAATAGTTTCTGGTCAAAGCAGAGCTTCTGGGGAATGACCTTTAAAATTTTTATATTAGTTATAAATTTACAACTGATGTATAATATAACCAATTTCAAGTCTTAATGTAGACAATGGTTGTAGCTCGCAACAATCATCTATCTGGAAAGTTGGAGTACATGGGGCTTGTGAAAGATCATAGGATTCAGATTGCCCTTCATTGCTTTTTTAGATCTATCGATATTCTTTTCAGCAAAGAGTTGAACTTAAGAATAAACAGCCTAGATGTGTGGAAATAGGTACATGAAGATTCATTATAAAAACTGATAAGGTGAACTGGATGCTGAAATGTGGACCGACTAATGTGGGTAGATTTTAACTTATGAAGAAGCCTAAAGAAGGGTAGAAGCAGACAGAAAAATGCTGCTCAAAAACCGCTTATTTTGTGAATCTTATGAGAAATTCCAAATACATACCAGCCAACAATTATTTTTGTTGTAAGTTGCCGTTCAATACAAGTACTCACCTAATAGAGTTCATCAAATCATCACGCCTCAAACCGACTCCGAAATGTTGATCCAGAAGACGGGAAGGACGTGTGAACCAATCTTCTTCGTCCCACCAATCGCGGTAAAGAAGTGGTACTACAGACATCTACAATAAATATGAAAAAAATATATTATCTACGATTGTGACAAAAGGCAAATTTAGTTTTGGTACTTTAGAGATTAAAATAACTTTTTTTAATTACTTGGCAAGCATCACCAGGTTGTTATTATTAATGTGCGAATGCCTAAAAATACTTTTGCTTGTTTATTTTATATGGAAGTGCTTAAAAGGTGCTTAGAAATATAGAGAAAAGTTTGGAGTTTCAATGAGTAGGTATTTATTGGTAGGTACTGTACTGGTACTCGTTAGTAAGACAGTAGGTATAGCAATGCTTAATTTGCCTAGAGCCTATTTGAAGAATATTTGAGCATGTACAATTAATAAAAAAACAAATTGTTTTAGAAAAAAGTTGTGTGACTATGCTTCACAAAATAATGGGACCTATACCTATACACTACAAAACATCTTAAAATAATGTTTTTACTAATAAGTAGGTATTTACAAGAAAATAATTTTCTAATCTAATTAATTTCAATAAAATTTATGTATGAGAAGTAATTATTGGTTAAATTTTTACCTTGGTATGGGTTCAATTAACAAAAATCACTTTCAAACTCAAAAATAAGACTGAACTCTGATCTCACTTAAACATAACTTAAATATAGCCGAATGTTTTTCGTGATTCAGACCACCTTCATCATCTAAATATTACACAAAAGCTGATGCACGCTATTTTAAAAATAGAGCGATATTGGTTTGTATTTTCTAGAATTTTATTTTCCTATACTTAAGAAGGATTAGTAAATAAATCTCTAATAACTATTCAGAAAATATTATCACCTATTTATGCCCCTTTTTTTGAATGACTGTCTTAAATACTTATAGGTACCTTAGTATTAGATATTATCAAATCAGTAATTTTGTAGCTTGAAAGCTAAACATCGGAAAAGTAGAATATTCAGTTGGATACAGGTGCACTTATTTCTTTCTTGTTGGTTTATCTTCTGGAGAAAAATGCCACAAGTCTTCCTGTTTGACTCAGAAAAGTAACAATATAAAATGTTCTGAAGCATCAGTCTTAGAACGGAATACTATTATTCATTGTACAGCTTCAGCCAAAGTTCTTTCTCACGAGGATGTGCTAGTCGAAAGTGGAGGTTTTATGCCTGGCGGGTTCTACGTTTTGTGGTTGATGGATTTCACAGCTTGTTTTTTTCGTTAATTGTAAGACTACTATAGGTACTTATACCTAATTCTTATAGAAACGAAGCTTTGAAGACCTGTACGATATAAAGTTTTTAGGTCTTCACGTATTATATCATTGTATCTACTAAAAAATTCCAATTTTGCAAAATCACAGAAGTTGTTGTCACTATTTGAAAGGTGATAATCATCTAGATATCTATGAAGGTTTAACAGAGGAAGGATGTTTTCACTATTCATAAATATCTATGAAAGTTAATTAACAGTTTATTGTGGCCAGTCAACCACGATCATCGAGATACATATCCTGCTCTTCTTGGTTTTAATTTTTCACATCCAAGCATGTGCCCAGCCCACCAAGAAGATCTACTTACATATTCTTCTATTTTCCCAATTTGAAGAAGACCAGAGATAAATACTCTATATAATGTGTTGATGAAGACGTTTCAATTTCATTTGAAATAAAGGTCACTCCAGGAACGAATCGTCGAGCTTTTTTCGCTACGGGTCTACAATCAGATGGCAAATTTGAAAATAATGTTTTTGCATCTATTATCAAAAGATGCTAAACAGCCTAGCGGCAGATGAATAACTTTTTTGGGTTTTGTAGTTCGTTGTCAATACATTATGATGGTAACCCTGTACTGATTAAAAAATTAAATTTAATACTTCCAAAATTTATTTATAGTCTGAGTTTTTTGGAGTCATTGATTTTCTCAAAAGTTGACATAGGTACTCACTTCTTATTGAAATTGCCTTCCAGTTGGTCCAATTAGTCTGCTTGAGTAAGTAACTTTGGAGGTGTTCGGATTTGATTCAAATCTGCGTTATGTACAGAGTGTTCCAACGAGGACCGAACATGGGCATATTTTGCACGCCCCTGTATTTTTGAAAAAATTCAAAATAGCCAATTGGAATATATTTTTCTGGAGAATTCAAAAAAGAGTAACGCCATAGATGAACTGTTTTCCAATTGGAACACCCTGTTTGAAAATCATGAGAGCTCTGCGGGACGAGCGGAGCAAGTTCCGCAGCAATTCTCTCATTTATGTAGTTCAGATGAAATCCTGACCTGAGAACAACTGAGTGAGAGAGTTTTTTTAGAGAATAATGAATGATTATAAGTAAAAACAATTAGGTAGGTATAGGTAACGTTAATACTAAATCTCTGTCTGTCTGTATATTTTTAAAAGTGTGCACAAATGGTATGCTTCTACCGCGATACTTTTTTGAATATACAAAGCCTTTTGAGGATGGGATTATACCAAAGTTAATGGATGATGAATAATAGATCTTATATGTGGAAATACGGTTAACGAATTACGGAAAAGACTCTACAGCAATAGAAGTCCATAATCCTAATAAAACCGACGGTCTGTAAAAATTTCCCAAATTCTGAAATCGAGCCAACAAAATTTAATCATTCCGAAATTCTCCGTTTGTGTTCTAATACGATTAAAAATAGATTGAGAAAGGTGGAAAATTCTAGGAATTATAATTACAAATACTGTGTTTTGTGTGCTCCATTCAAAAAAAAAAACACAACAGGTTGGGGATATCTTTATTTGGATATACTTTATTTTAGTTTTAAATAATGAAGTCATACTTTACCGCACGTAACGGCAGATGACTGGGTCAAGCCGTTAAATGCGGTAAATGTACTTACCGCATGTGTTATAGGGACAAACTTTCACCAAAATCCACATCTCCAAAAAAAAGGCTTTTGAAATTTCTGGAAGAGCGAGAAGGGATTTTTTTATTATAACCCAGACAGTACAGAGGCATCTTAAAGGCGTCTTTAAGATGTCCACAAACGACATTCGAGAGGTCTGCTTACGTCTGAAAGGCGACCTCAAGACATTTGAAAGACGTCTCATGTTACGTTACCAAAACCAACGTTTTTTAGACGTCTTCCCAAGAACGTCTCCGGGACTATTTTAATCATTTTTAGAAGAGCCAGGAGTAAAAATCAAAAAACAAATTAAGAGCCTCAAATTTTAAAATACGAGAATCAAAAGAAAATTAAGAATTTAGAATCATTGGGCAAAATCAAGAGCATGGAACAGGAAAAATTATAAAAATTCAAGAATTTGAATTGAATATAAAAACACATAGTAAATTTGGAAAATATTAGGAAACAGTATATCTTCCTTCATCCGTTTCTTTTGATGTTTTTTCTTACTACTTTTGACATCAGGTGATGTGAAGGTTTACAGTCGGCCACGCTATTAAGTCCGCGACTATGATTACTCCATAGAAAACCTGAAATCACAAGTACAATAAAATAGTATTGTGTTGTCTGAACACAATATTTCAAATGAGAAAATACTTCTCTGGAAGAATTAGGAGCAATTCAGTTAATAACTTTTTTATAATAATAATAAACAAAAACGAAATTATTTATCTCCACAACCTTGCCTAACAACTAACCAAAGCTAACTACACACAAAAAAATAAACAATAATAAAAACACAAAGGTAAAAACACAAAGGTAAAAACATAAAGGTAAAAATACAATAGTAAAAACACAAAGGTCACTACATAACCTTCCTCCAGAAGTATTCTACTTCGAAATTTTAAATCTCACTTTTTTTATTTTTTTTATTTATTTCTTGTTTCACTGGTGCAGATTTTTTCACCTTCAATACTGATTCCAAAGAATTATCCAACAAACATGTATCCATAAACGCTGGTTTAATACGATCAATTGATACATTATAGGGTTTTCCGTTTAAATCTATTTTAAAAAATTTATTTGATTTCTCCAAAACTTTAAATGGACCATTATAGGAAAACGATAAAGGTTTCTTATGAGAATCGATCTTAACGAAAACATGCGATGAATCAAACAAATTTTTGTTAATGAAAAACTTTCTTTGTTTAAAATTTGAGGTTGCTGGTTTTAAGTTTTGCATAAATTCTTTAAGTTTTATAACAAAGTCAGAAGAAGTTTGGCTTTCAGAAGTAGAATTCTCAAAAAATTCTCCAGGAATACGTAAAGTAGTCCCATAAACCATTTCCGCAGCACTACATTGGATAGAATCCTTAAAGCAAGTTCTCAGCCCAAGCATGACTATGGGAAGCGAATCAACCCAATGAATACCATCAACCGCCGTCAAAGCACTTTTGAGACTTCGATGAAATCGCTCAATAACACCATTAGAAATAGGATGATAAGCTGTTGTTTTAATGTGATGAGTGCCGAGAATTAACATTAATTCTTTAAATAATTTTGACTCAAATTGAGATCCTCTATCAGATGTAATAAAAGTTGGTATACCAAATCTACTTATCCACTGAGAAACTAAAGCTTCAGCAACCGTAGAACTATTAATATCTTTAACAGGAATTACTTCAGGCCACCTAGTATACCGATCTATACAAGTAACAAGATACTTAAAACCTTTAGAACAGGGCAAAGGACCCACAATATCGATATGTAAGTGACTGAATCTGTCTTTAGGAGTCTCAAATTGTGACAAAGGACTTACCGTATGTCTAATTATTTTAGACCTTTGACAACTTACACATTCTTTTGTCCACCTCTTAATATCAGATCTTAAGTTTGGCCAGACTACCCTAGATGAAATAAGCTTTTGTGAAGCACGAATTCCAGGGTGTGATAAAGAATGCATAATTTTGAAAATTTTATACCGAAACTTAATTGGGATAAACGGACGAGCCTTGCCTGTTGATACATCACAAAACAATTCAACTGATTCGTCATCTAAATGAAACTTTTCCAATAACAAAGAAGTATTGTCTGAATTCTGAAAGAACTTTAGTTCCTGATCAGTTTCTTGTACTTTCGCAAGTTCTAAATAATTAATATTTTCCAAACAAATCGAATTTAACTCAATGCGACTTAGAGCATCGGCAACAGCATTGTTTTTACCTGAAATATGTCTAATATCTGTAGTAAACTGTGAAATGAAATCTAAATGTCTAAATTCTCTAAGGGAATATTTATCTGAATTTGATTTGATTGCATATACCAGTGGCTTATGATCTGTTAAAATATGAAAAACCCTGCCTTCAAGTAAATACCTGAATTTTTTGATAGCCAAATAAATTGCCAAAAGTTCTCTTCCAAATGTACTATATCTCTGTTCAGTAGGTGTAAGTTTTTTTGAAAAGAAACACACAGGCTGCCAAAAATTATTATGATATTGTTGAAAAACTGCACCTACTGCAAAATCAGAAGAATCCACCATAATGTTCAGAGGTACATTTTCCCTAGGGTGATTTAAAAATGTTGCAGTAGCTAATGCTTCTTTAATCTTGACAAAATCATTCTGAGCACAATTTGTCCAAACAAAATTCTTTTTCTTATTAGATTTAACGAGATCATACAAGGACTTGCATAAATCTGCACAATTTGGAATAAATCTATGGTAAAAATTTACCATACCCAAAAATTCTTGGAGCTTGCGTTGAGAAGACGGAACCGGGAACTGTCGAATTGCTTCAACTTTTGCAGATAAGGGTTTTATTCCTCTGCCATTAACTAAATGACCCAAAAATTCTATTTCATTCAACCCAAATTTACATTTTTCTGGGTTCA